TACACACACACACACACACACACACACACACACACACACACATATCATTTTTTAAAAAGAAAAGATTTGCAAGCATTAAACTAGGTGCAGAGTATGACCCATGTGACCACTCAGAACCAGGAAGCCACTAGCACCACAGACTCTCTGTCTAGCCCCTCCCCTGTTCCTCTGCAGCTGCTCAACCTTCCAGAAAGTCTTATAGGGCATGGCTGGGTAAGACTGAGCCCCTCTCCTCAGACATTCTACACTCTGCCTGGGTTTTCTTCTCCCCAGAGCACTTGTTTACCTGGCAAGTGTCTGCCCCCAAATGGGGAAGGCTTTGTCTTGCTCACTGATATTGTCCTCAGTACTTAGAATGGTGTGTGATGTTAATGCGCCACTTAATGAACAGTGTTGACTGAGAAGGGGATACACAGATGGATACACGGTGGATGGATGGATGGATGGATGGATGGATGGATGGATGGATGGACAGACAAAGCCCACACAGCTTCAAGGAACAGAACCTTCCAGTAAAGACATTCACACTTGTTTTAATAAATACACACACAGATCATGGACAAAGGCACCCACATAGCGGTCTGCTACGTCATTGTTTTTTTTTTTTTTAATGAATGGCACTGATAACATTTTAATTAGAAGCAAGAAGAAATTTGGGCTGGAGGGGATCAAAGAGAGTTAGCATAGCAGATGGAATTAAACTGAGCCTTAACAGGAAGGTAGAGGACAGGGGAGGCAGGGGAGATACTCCAGCTCTGTTTACAATGAGTTCAGCACACCAGGAGGGAAGCAACTAGCTAGCAGCAAGGTCTGAATCTGAAATGGGGCAGATCCAGAGCCCTATCAGGCATGGCCTGCCTGAACCAACGCCATTCCACCAATCATGAAGCCTCTGAGGCCTAGGCAGAGTCTACTCTGGGCACAGCCGAGTCCTCTGCCCTAGCTCTGCAGTGATTACAGACCTATCAGGTGAACAACAGTGGGCACTGGATACAAATCTGGACAAATCTCAATCAGTAATTGGCTCAAGGTGACCCAGTCTGGACCAATGAGAACACGGCTTCAGCTGCGTCCAACAGAACACATGCTGTGTTCTCCCAGTACAACTACACTGGAAGAACATACAGCTGCAGCTGCTGTAGCTGTCCTCTCAAGAAGGGACAGCCTACTGTGGAGAAAGCCAGCAGACAAGTAGGACAGATGGGAGAGGTCCCGGCCAGCAGCACCTCCTGGAATTGTTACACAGATTGAAAGATCCCAGTGGATGTTTTTAGGCCAGTTTGAGTTGGGCATCTGTGTCTTTGTCAGTCAGATGTGATACACATGATAAAATGTGACCAGTCACAAGCCTGTACTAAAGCAGCTTACATAAGCATAACTGAAATGTCACCTCTGTCCCCAAGGAGAGGGGCGTGAAAGACCGTATCTACTGCCCCTGGAATCCTAACCAGGGTATGCCATCCCTTGCACTGGTCCACCCAAAACTGCCAACTGCCAGTGTAGGTATTTACAAGCCACTCCCATAAGCAAGATGGCTAAGTGCTGCTATTAAAAGCCTCACATAAGAAGGCAAGACATCACAAAAGGCACATCACAGTTTCACTTCAGCTGTGCTTGTCCGTCAAAGGTTCTGGCCCATGTCCAACCAAAGACACTCTAATGCAACTGTACCACTGGAAGGCAACCTCTCTTTGTTGCCCTCACACTAGTGAAAATACAGTGGAGATGGCACCAAAAACACAACAGTGGCCACAAGCATTCTAGAGAAGACATCAAGCTGTGCAGTAACATCTGTACATTTCAAAGTGTGACCAACACAATGTCAAAAGACAATTTTCACGGAAGACAAATCCATTGACAAAAGCACAACCCTAACACGTACCAGATAAAAAAAAACCAGACAGACAACCAACCAAAACATTTCTTCTCATATCTTTGGTCCCAGAACTGGCAGGAGGATTTCTGAGTGAGAAGCTAGCCTGGTCTTCATAGTGACACCCTGTGTGGTGGCTTGAATGTCCCCCATAGGTTCATATATTTGAATACTTGGTCCCAGTTAGCAGAACTTTTTGGGACCCAACATCTGCTCAGTTGCCCTGTGACTCCCGTGCACTGTGGGGTTCACACTCCCTGCCACGGGCATCTGAGGCTTTTAAATAAATACTCCTCTCATTTCTTAGACTGAAGATACAGGATGAGTTTACTGTTGCTTAAAAGCCATGCTAACTTCCTCCTACTCAGCTACCAGGACAGGTTGAAGACGGCTGTGGGAGAGAGTTGTCAGGAACAATGAAGACACTGTCTCTGAACCATTGGCTAGCAAGCAACACTCAGGAGGTGGAGGTGGGAAGGCCAAAAGCTCAAGGCCAGGGGTGGGGACAACGGCTCAGTCAATAAAGTATTTGCCCTGCAAGTGTGAGGACATATGCCTGTGATCCCAGAGAAGGTGAGAAGAGAGAAGAAACAGACAGCTCCCTGGAAGTTCTAGGGTCAGCTAGCTTGGCTTATATGACAAAGTTCCAGGCCAACAAGATCCAGTCTCATATAAAATGTGGAGGTGCCTGAGGGTCAACATCTGGTGCTGTCCTTGATCTTCACATTAAGGCTGAACACATAGACATCTGCAGGCTTTCTCTCTCTCTCTCTCTCTCTCTCTCTCTCTCTCTCTCTCTCTCTCTCTCTCTCTCTCTCACACACACACACACAC